AGGGAAAGTAGGTCGTAGTATCAGGAATTCGTGAGAGGAGAGAAATGGCATAATTATAGGGTTACACTGGTGTTGTGAGCAGTTAAAGGTGTTATTAATATTTCGGCTTTCGGCAAGTGCACTTTCCTGCACTTTAAAATGTGTGTGTGCATGTGTGTGTATATGTTTGTGTGTTTTGTGTGGGAAGGACGGGGAAGTCAAGAGAGTGGGGTGAAGGGGATAGGACGGGAGCGAGGAAGGGGGGAAGGGGGGGCTGATATTAGAGCCGAGCTCAAACAGACACCGTTCAAAAAACCTTGTTTTGATGTTTTCAGTACACTAAAAATATGCAGGTGTTTTTTTACACAATCTCCTCAGGCTGATTGTGAAGACGAAAACAAGGAATTCGAGAAGCGTATTGGAACTCTGCTGCTACGTCAGGTGTTACGAGAGTTTGTTGGTCTTGAGGATTCCGATGCCTCCACGAAAGAAGTACACTCTTTCAAGAGTTTTTTTCAATGCAGTTTTTACTATTTATCAGAGTGAAATGCCACTTTTTTTGAATGTTTTTCGTATTGCATGGCATCCCTGGTGTGCGCATGCATCTATGTATATGGGCTGACGTTAACAATGCTTTTCGCAGGCGATGATGAATTTCTCATATTATTTGACAGTTGACAAAATGGATGAGGCGTTCAAGGCTATAAAATTCATAAAGAGGTACGCATTCGATTGACTTATTCTCCACCATATTTCTCAGATTATTATTTCCGATAATTCCAATATTCGCAGACACACACACACAGATACGCACACTCATACACGCACATACTTGCATAAAAAAACAAACCTACATACAAATACATAAAACGCACACATACAGACATACACACACGTAAAACGCACACGCATAAACACACATACACGAGCACCCACTCACAACGCGCACATACAAACACACACACACACAAACACACACATAGAAATACACACAAACATAAACACACAACATACACAAATACGCACGTACACAACACACAAGCATACAGTTTGTTCATACTGTCCTTATTTGTGTTGACTGCTTACAGTTTGGTATGAGCAATTTCTAAGCCGCCTAATGACTTGTTTGAAGTTGAAAGGAAATAAATGAGAAAGATTCGTAATCACTGGCGACATGCACCGGGCGCGATCGTGCGTTTTTGCACTGTTTCGTGCTCTAATGGGATCGCCCCGAAACCCAGTAGCTAGAAATGTGTGACATACTGGTCCTCTAATTTCAGGAAGTTAGTTGTCTAAGCTGGACTTGGAAAGGAAACATTCCCTTAAAATTTCAGGTCGTAGCTATTCCAGTTTCCGAGTTACTCATATCCCCGCCAAAAACTTTCACGGGGCTGTACGTGAGAACCACGCATGTCCGGGGGCTGAATGTGATAATTTTAAGTTGTAAATGTGCTGGAAACATTCCTTGAAAATTTTAGTCTCCCAGGTTTCCTGGTTCCCGAATGAGCCATTTTCCCGACAGAAATTTCCACGGAGCCGTACGTGGAAACCACGCATGCCTGGGGGCTGAATTCGAGTTGTATATGAACTGGGAGCATTTCCTTAAAACTTCAGTTTTCTAGCTTTCTTGGATCCCAATTTAGCGATTTTCCCGCTAGGAACCTTCACGGGACCGTGCGTGAGAACGTCGCATGTCTGGAGCCTGAATTTGAAAACTTCGTGTTCTATGTGGACGGAGAACATAACTGCAAAGTTTCATCTTTCTAGCTTTTCTGGCTCCCGAGTTGGCGATTTTCCCGCCAAAACCTTGAGAGGCTCGTGTGCGGGGCCTAGATGTGCGTGAGGGATGGTGCCTCGATCCTGAGGCGGTACTTGGTCGGGGAACCCACCTGCAGAATTTTGGCGCCGGAGCCTGCTTGGGTGCCGAGTTAAAATATCCGGACAGACGCACGCACACACACACACACACACACACACACACACACACATACACACGCACACACACCGGGGTTGTCACAATATACGTTTTCGCATTTGTATATTTGCAAAAACGCATAAAAACGCAAATTGATCATAAATTCTAAGGCATTCTAAGTGATAGAATGGAGCCGGAACTTAATGCGGAGAAATGCGCTGCTCGGTAGCTCAGGAAGATCCAATCATGCCCTTAGTTTTTCAATTCCCTTCGTATCTTTCCCGTTGCACTGGTTGATAAATGCCGCTGCTGCTAATACATCATTCATGATACTACGACCATTGCTCTTCGCCTTCTGAGCAGTGTTTTGAATCAATGTGAATAACAAACGTGTTTGCAGCGAAAGTGTCTGGGAGCACATGGCTCATATGTGTGTGAAAACTCGGCGACTGGATGTGGCCCTGGTATGCCTGGGCAATATGGGCCACGCTCGTGGTGCACGAGCTCTGAGAAAGTCAATGCAGAGTGGCGATCCTCCAGAAGTTCAAGTTGCTACTCTGGCAATTCAGCTGGGCCTTTTAGTATGCTTTGTGCTTTTGGGAAGAATTACTCAAGCTAGTTTATAGAATTAGCCGGAAATTTGTTATTTTAAGGATGAAGCACAATTGCTGTTTACGAAATGCGGGCGGTTCGACCTCGTCAATCGCTTATTACAAACACGCAACCGATGGGATGAGGTTTTTTCTCGCAATATTTTTCCCTTAAGAAATTAGCTGAATTATAAGAGCGAGCTGAAATTTTTTAGGCTTTCAAAGTTGCTGAAAAACACGATCGAATACATCTGCGAAACACATACTATAACTACGCCAATTATTTGGAATCTCTGGGCTCCGTTGAAAGTGCCGTCGAGAAGTCAGATATTCATTATTTTCACTTATATCACCTTACTGGGGTGTTTATTGGGGATGGACTTCCAAAATTTTTAGCTTCTTGAAATGCTGCTTTTGTTGTTACCGGAATTTTAGTTTCGAGAAGTCCGAAACTCATCGGTTTGAAGTGCCACAAATGCTGCTCGATAATCCAGCAGTACTAGAAGCTTACGTGAAGAAAACAAAAGACCCGTATGTTTGTCAGCTGATTTGCTTTTGTTTATACCTTATTTGAGCTCTCTTTAAGATGCATGCGTGTGATTCTTAGCCTCACTATTTGTTTGTTAATTCAGGTTCTCATGTAATGCAGACCCGACCGCAACGCGACGCGTGCTTCTTTTTTATGCGTTTTATGTTGCATAACAGTAGTACAAAACGCATATTATCGCGCGATTGTGTATGTGTCCCATATTTTGTCCCGCACTTTCAACTCGGGAACCACAAAAGCTAGACAGCTGAAATTTTAGTATAGTGTACCCCGCCAACGGGTGATGCGGCAAATTTAAATTCAGCCTTCCCGTACCGCGAGTAACACGTACGGCCCCGTAAAAGTTTTTTGGGCAAAATCAGTATCTCGGGAACCACTGAAGCTAGTAAGCTGAAATTTTATGGGTGTGTCCCGTGACCACACACAACTCAGTAAAACTCAAATTCAATCTTCCTGTGCCCGCGGGTAACACGTACAGCCCCGTGAAATTTTTGGCGGGTAAAATCATTGTCTCGGGAATCACAGAAGCTGAGAAGCTGGAATTTTATGGGTATGTCCCCTGCTCCCGTGCGACTCAGAGAACTTGAACTCAACCTCCTCGTGCCTGCGGGCAACACGTACAGCCTCGAAAAATTTTTAGCGGGTAAAATCATTATCTCAGGAACCGCGGAGGCTAGGGAGCTAGGTGTGCCCCTTGATCACGTGCACCTCAGAAAATTTAAATTCAATTTTCCCGCGTGCTTGGATGTCGCGTATGGCCCAGTGAAAGTTTTGGCGGAAAATTATTTCAGGATCCATGAAAGCTAGAAAGCTTAAATTTGAGGACGATATTTTCTGCCGCTGCAGGTGTCTCACAAACTCAAACTTAGCTCCTAAGGTCTTACGTAAGACCACATGAGAATTTCGATATAAAAGTCGCTAGCTTGGAAGCCGAAAAACCGCAAAATTGAAATTTGGAGGAATGTTCCCCATCAATTTTTTCAAATTCAGCTTTCACGTACCGGCACGTGAAATTTTCAAAGGGAAATTCTTACCTAGGAGCCAGACAGCTTATCTATTGTTTTTCCATATACAAAAGTATAAAACAGTTATATTTTTAATAAGCAACGTCCGCTGGACGGAACTGCACAAAACGCATGATCGCATCGGCTACCCTTGTGCGTTTCGCTATTTATTTATTTTTTTGTGTAGTCGCCCGCTCGTATAAACTGTATAAAATTGGAAATTTGATCTCCCGAATCCACAGCCTGAGGACTATTTTCATATTGATTATCACTTACTTTGATCAGCTGCTGTTTCACTATCAGCTTTTTCTCGCCATCAGTGTAGCCGACAACTTTCCCATTCTCTGTTTTCTTTTTTGGACTGCTTTCATCCGCATAGTGCCATACAGCCGTTCAGCTAAATCCTTCCGCGCGCTAGCGACTTCCCCTGTGTTTTACCAACACTGCCTGAGTACCGTCCAATAATCCACACAGTATGGTCAAAATTGCGGGTCGATTCAGTCTTTACTGTTCTGGTCCACATCGATTTTTGTTTCATTTACTATTTTTAACTCATGATACATTACGTGGTTTCACGTAGTGTGTTTTGCAGATTGCTTTGAAATGATGTTGCAGGGGTATGCAAAAGTGGTGGGCGCAGTATATGGAAAGTAAGGGGGAACTGAGGGCTGCACGTTTATACTATCAGTACGCCAAGGATTACTTATCAGTTGTTCGCTTGCTGTGTTACACCGATGCCGTTGATGAGGTGAACAAGGCTAATGTCTCCCTTCCCCGATCCCTGACTTACTGCCACACTTTTCCGGAATTATTTCTTCTTACTTTCATCGCTTAAAAGAAGCAAACAACAGAAATCCAGGCTGGAACACACCAGGCTCTCCGGTGCGATCATGCGTTTTTGCACTAAACTCGTTGACCCGCTATAAGCAGAAATGATCCCTACGCTATAGCCTAACGTTTGGGCCATACTGGCCGTGCTTGACCCTTTCCGGCATGCAGGAGGAAGGGCTTCAATTGGGACGAAGGTGGTGCATTATAGAGTCGCACGGGCATCCAGGTGCATAATTATCGGTTTTTTGCATGAAGTCCGGTCATTTTTTCGGTAAATGCTCGCTTTGTGAAAAAATAACAGATGCAAATTTTTTGGAAAAATGCAAATTTCCAGTTGGCTAAAAAGTGGAAGTATTGCTCGAGGGGTCGTTTGTCAAAAAAACCATATTCATTACATATAAGATTGCGGTTCAGGCCCGAGTTGCTAACGATTTGTGGGTTGAGAAGCTGCTTGGGGCTGTGGTTGGGATGCTCGACAGCTGAGTTTAAAATCTTTAGCTCGCACGTGCATAGATAATACTCTTGCAAAGTTTCGGCCTTCTACGTTACCTGGTTCGCGAAATCGTTTCCCGTCAACATATTTCTTTGGAGGTCCGGTACGCGGGATCTAGGTACATGGGGAAAGATCTTAAAACGGGAGGATGACACACGATGTAGAAACATATATCCGAAGTTTCAGCCTCCCAGCTTTCCTGATTGCTGAGATGAAAGTGGGTGACAAAAT